GAGGGCTGGGGGGAAGGTGTTTTTAAGACTGTTTTATTTCTCACTCTTTGGCTCTTATCCTGTTAGTAATAAATATAAGTATTGTCCCCACTTTGAGTCTTGTTTTGCCCGTGAAGGTGATCAGTCACTGACCTCTCCCAGCTCTTATCTCTACTCATGAATTCTTAGCTGGTATCTGGCCAGGGTCAACCCACTACAGTCTTTTTGGTGGCCTGTACGGGGAAGTCATGAGGATTTTGAGATAAGGATAGTAATTGGGAGAGGTAACGGGCAAAACAAGTACTGAACAATGTTAGAGAATGAAATGACTGGGGAGAATTTTGGCTGTAATTGTGGTAAAGGTACAAGGGGTGGATTTTGTGTAAATTGTCCATTTGAATTTGGTGTTATGGTGATGTTATTTTGATTTTTGGTGGGGGGAATTTTTGTTATATTCTGTTTTGGTAGGTTGTTATTTTTGTTTACATAAGGGAAGGTTATGTGATGAATGTGGAATTTAAAATTATTAAATATATGATTCACAGAGGCGAGGGATGGAATAAATCTCTGGGATTTTGTTTTCTTTTTTCCCACCTCACTCTCTCCCCTGCCCCTCTGGGGAGGGGAGTGATAGAGCGGCTGGGTGGGCACCTGGTGTCCAGCCAAGGTCAACCCACCACAAGTATTAACAGTACTTTATAACACAATATCTATGTGCCATTTTTTGTGTAAATAATTTGTGTTTCTTATATAAATAACCTAGCATGCATCTATCAAACATTTTTGATGCATCAGTATAATAAATTATAAAAATAAAATATTTTTTAAAAAAATAGAATAAATTATAAAACAATCCTAGGCAGTATTATCAGCACTAGTTATTAATTTCAAAGTCCCGCTATCAATATGTATACTCACAGGTTTTCCTGCCAGATAGGCAAAGGTAGGTATATGGAGGTGTTAAAGCCCTACTGCAGAAACATTATTAGGAAGTGGTAAAGGGTTCAACTTAAGCCCTTTCCTTATTATATAGAGGCTTCAGAAACAAAGAAGAAAGGATTCCAGAGATATCTATTCTCCCCTGAAATCAGTGACATTAGCAGGTACAGTAACTGTTGAAATACCATTTAAAAATGTTTTAAACCCACACTCAAATTCATCTGAGCCATAGCTTGGGAGAATTGGAGCCAATAGACACTGTGCCATTACAGATTAGGTTTAGGTCCTTTATTTATCATTTTGTCTGACTTAGATTTTTCTCAGTCTAGATAAAGTTAAATATAACTTACCTTCCTATATCCAACATTTCATGTTAAATTAAATAAACCCTATTCATTTCTGATCTATTCTTCCCAGTAAGTATGTGCACAGCTGCCCAGCCTTGGGTAACAGAGAAGATGTTAAGGTGGCTGAACAGACCTTAGTTTCACAAGATTTAACATCTGGACAGCAACACTATCATCACATCTTTCAAGTAAATCTAATTACTCAAAACACTAAGTCATTTTCTGTACTCATTAATTCCTACCACGTAACACAATGCTGGGACAATTTAGAGCATTATTATATTTCCTTTACAAAAAGTATCTTCTCCTGATGAAAAGTTATACAAAAGATTGATTTTGTAACAGTGAAATAAAAATCACTCTAAAATCAAAAACTAGTAATAGTGAGCATTGCTGCTGCTTGAGTGATGCCAACACAGCCTTAGACTGGTATCCTGTCTGGAGAAGAAAAATGGATTCTTTTTAAGGATCACATTCTACATTTTCCATCTTGTTATTTGAATGCTATTGCACTGCTGCAACTGGTTAGCACTGCACATCTGGCTGAATTGTCTTGAACTGGTATTTTCCCTAAACTATTGTGTATGTGTGTGATGGGTTTTTTAAAAAAAAATTTGTATGCACACTGAAACAATGCCCTATTGCAGACTGCTACACACAATTAGGGAGAGCATATTTTTTTCTGATTTTGTTTTCAATGTCAAAAAAGTGCTATTTTTAAAGTAAGCCACCATGAAATTCTAGCCATGCTTTTACAATGTTTTTTAATTCTGGGGTTTTTTGGCTCTTAATCTCATAGGCCCAAACTTCACACTGGAAGTGTTATCTCGTAAAAGCTCTAAATTTCAAGGACTTTTACTCTACAGCTACTATTTTAAACTTGCATTTGTCAGGAAAAAGAGCGTATAACTAAAATATTCTCATAAAAATAGTTTCACAGAAGCAAAACAGATAAATGTTCCATTCAGTAAAAGGTCAATTTTTCATAACTTTGGCTACAGAAGCCCTACAATTCAGCCAAATTTGATTCCAAAGCCAAAAGTTTCCTGTACTGCTGCTACAAACCATCGTACTAAGATTTTGCAAAGTCCATCAGACTAATGAGGGGCAAAAAGTCAATCTTTTCTCATAAAATTACCGCCATGACCAAATATTGTTACTTATAAATGCCACAATTTACAACTTTCGCAACTGTAAAGCATCTGAAAAAAAAAAGGGTGGAGGGGAAGGGTACAATGATATTTCTTCTTTAAAATAAACAAACACATTAATATCCAGAGCCTTAAAAATGCAAGGTCCTGGTTTGCTTTCTAGTAGAAAGGCTCTGGAAAGCCCCTAGTTCTGCTCAGCTAAGAATTTCCCTGCCATGGGGGAGCTCCCGGCTGATGCACAGCCAGCATTGCTGGATCCTGCACAGATATCATTTGACACCAGCACAGGATGCATTAGGAGCTGGCAAGAAGTGGCCAGAGCACGTTTTATACTTCTGAGGGCTCACATGCCTAGATTGCTCTAATTTATACTCAGCTCTGCCTTATACAAGGCAGTTCTGGGAGGCTAAGCATAAATCCAGTGCAACAGAGAATCTGGATTTAGCCAGATACAAGAGGTCTCTAATGCTAAATCATAAATTAGCCAAGAACACTGAACTTGTTTTTACTGTCCTGTAAGATTTGGGGAAACTTAAAGCCTGGACAGAAGTAATCAGTCTTCAGAGCTGTCATCCTCTCCTTTAACCACCACAACCAAGTGTCTTGGTCTATGCAAGCACACAAAACCTGGGAGATGTTCCTAATTGTGCCTATGTTGGCTATTGAGAATTCTCATCTGTACATTAATTGGTGATTTTTCATCACAAGTGCAAAGTATCTGGCTGCAGACAGCGGGATTTCCTGACAAAAATGTGCAATTGTGTCTCTTGTGTTTGTCCAACTGTATTTCAGACACAAGTTTAACTTTCAGCACATTTTTCAGACAGCAAGAAGAGACTTTGGGTTGACTGAACAGGACACATGAGGAGAAGGAAAGCCATTCAGTGGTGTCTCTGTCTTCTTTCTCTTCCTCCATAATTTTATGTGAAAATGCCAGAAGTTTTGCACCTTTCTTTACAACAAGTCTGGCATAATGCTGGCCAGTACTCCCAAGCCATGTGTAAATTGAGCTCAAGATACACACTGTATCATTTATTCCCTGAAGAAGGCTGTGCAGTATTTCTTGGAATAATGAAAACCTGGCTTCTGGTTTTGCAGATACAGATTTCTACTACCTAGTAAAATTTGGGCTTCCTGACCTCTGCCAGTTTTACAGATTTTGAAGATAGCCTATTTGAACACATGCACTCCAGTGATTTTGATCAGCAGTTCCCAAGCTGAGCTCATTTGGTGACCACCATCGGAGATGGGGCTGAGCTGTGGTGAGACCATCTGTGCAAAACCAGAAGCTTGTTGCCAGGACAGGTACATGTCATGTCACCTCCAACCCTTTAACTGCAAAGTCTCATTCATCCAAGTGGAATTCTTGACTCCACACTTTCATCTCCCACTCCTCTACATGTCTGACCTCACAAAGCAGAGCCTCTGTCAAGGTGTCCAATCCCTCACCTACCTTTTGACCACACCTTGCACTGACACAAATCAGGGTGACAGTGACTGTAGCCATATCCTCCTACATAAAAAAGCTGCCCTGCCTCACCAACCTGTTTCCTTCTGCCTTGACCCTCTCCTGAAGCCCTTTGAGGTGTGCACTGTGGGACGGTGAAGTCACTGCTGAGCAATTGCTGCAACTACAGCTACACAGAGAAGTAAATCACAACAGATCAGCAAAAACTTTCTGTGTGAATCTGTTTACCTCATGGCTCAGAGAAGTGCTTGTTACAAGCAGAGTTAACAGCTGCCATCATCATGTACCACTTTCAGTTGGCTTTGTACCACAATTTGGGAATGTCTGCCTTAGACAATAGGCACAAATATGCATAACAGTCACATTTAGATCTGTTCTTTTCTCTTCCTGACAATGTTCTAATTTAAGATCCTAGTTTCACTTAACCAGACGTTTTTACTGGAGAGAAGTTCATTCCCATATGGCACCTTCAAGGACCATGACTCCTCCAGAAATTTGTATTACATGAGCCAAATTCTACTAACAGTTGTACTGCTAACAGGTCACATACTTGGGGTTTGTTTTTAGACTAATGTTTGTTTAAAAGTGAGGAATACATTTTGGATTGTAAATATGTTCATTCTGAAAAAACTATGAAGAGAATAAGGAGAGTCAGATGGAAGAATTTTACCTCTCGTTTGTACTGATTATATAATTTATCAAGAAATTGTTCCACAGGCCTCCAACAGATGCTCTGCTGTTAAAGCCATGAAAAGTCATTCAGGGAGAGGGTAAAGGCCTCGGGGGTGTGGTCCACATGTTTCAGCACATATATCCTCAGTCCTGGCCTGCAGATAGCACATCTGGTTCAGGCATGGACCTGATGGTTGGCCAAAATACAGGCTTACAATAATGCTCCTTTTTTCAGCTTTAATGTAAGCCTGTGTTCTTGCCAAATTCAAATGCTGCCAAAATTTGGCCAAAGATGTTTGCTCAATTGTGCAATATCTTAAGTTTATATCCAACAACTCTTTGCAAAAACAATTGTATCGTGTTTTTAATGTTTACAGGCATTAACAATATTTAATTTTAAGTAGAATTTTAGTGCTGACATTCTCTTGTTTTACAGTAAATTACCTTAGAGAGGGTTTTTCCATTAGCTCTGAGTGTCACGAGTCCTGCACAGCACACCAAAGCACTGGAGCTAGAGAGACCAGAACTTGGAGGGATGGTTCCATCTAGCAGACAATTCATTCCAGTTGGGTTATTAAGACCAAAATGTTCCTAACAATGAAAAATAAACAATCTCAGTTTCAAGTACAGACAGGCTCAGGCTTGCAATTATCTGATACTTAGAAAGAGAATCCTTCTACTGAGTTGCTTAAACCAAGGACCTGCTTCTGGTATCTCCAAAATAAACCAAAAGCAAAGTTTTCCTTCTATTCCTTAAGAACAAAGCCAATGGTAGGGCTCCAGCCAAAGGTATGTCTACAATTGCTGTACACAAACATATAACTGTACCCCAAGCAGAACTCAGTATGGGCTGAATGCCCAAGAATTTACCAAGCTTCGTGGGTGGGTTTTGCAGCAACTGCCTCCACTCTGAGCTGCCGTGGTGACAGTTACCAATCATTTCATACCCTACTTTTGTCCTTTTCTTGACAGCTCTTCATTTTAAGGCATCCTGAGGAGCTTCACATCTAACAGTGGCATGTGGTGTTAGGGAGCCACGTGACACTGATGGGGAACTGGTAGCCATGCAGCTGTATTCAAAGGCAGATGCTCATCTCCTGAAGCACCCACAGGACTGACCCTGGGAAAACCAAATGGTACTTGAGGGACTCTGTGCTTTTGGAGGCACAAAGACACATCTACCAGCAGGAATGGTCTCTGTCATGCTACTTTTAGAATAAGGTTTAAAATACTTTTACGTGCATGATAGGTATTACAAATAATACATTTAATCCAGAAGTCATAAATCCTCATGTACATACTCTTTTAATTATTCTTTAGTCGCTTTGTCTTTTTATTTATAATTGCTTTAATATAAGTTTCTCTCTGCTGTCAGTTTGAAACAAACATGCAGTACTTATTAAAAAATCATTGAATGTATATGGGAGGTATATGAATAGCTGCATTCTGATGCAATTTATATGTCAATAGACTATATGTTACAGTGTCAATAATCAGAAAAAATAGCAGTGTTTTCATAAAGAAATACCCACCTTCAAAAAATTTCTACTGCTTTTCCTGAAACAACTTCAGCCATAAGTACCAATGGTAGAGATCAGCAAACACAAAGAACCTCCTTTAAAGTCTTCTACTATCAGTTCAAATTATTTTGAATTTCCCCTTCTACAAATATAGGAAATTCATACCTAAAATACTATTGCTGCCCATGCCCCTTCATGAAGAACACTAGGCAGGCTTGTTCAAAAACAGAAAATGCTTGAGTAACCAGAAACTGATCCCCAGTTTCTGGATTGTCTTGAATATGAATCAGGCTTGCAGACTTATCACGCGATGTTTAAATAGAAAACGTACTTCAGTTTCAAAAATGAAAATGGACTTTGCCAAGTTCTGCAACAGTTCTGTCCCAAAAGGATAGCATGTTCAACTCAATATAAACAGATTATCCTGCTGGACCCTCTGAGTACTTGTATTTCAGTGTTTCTTAAGCCTGTAACATTTATGCTTATTTTCTGCCAGTACTAGAGTCTGCAAACCTGCTTTGCAAATTAACCTTCAAGTATGAAAGCTTGTCCTTAGGAAACAAATCTCAGTAGCAGACTGCAAAATAAATAAAGTCAATTGGTCATGCTAGCCTTAATATAAGAAAGGACATATTGTAAAGAAACCTAATCTATATCTCTCCAGTCAATGCAATTTAAACGCTTGTGGTACTGAGCAATACCAAATTGAAAATACTCATGTTACTGCACACATAAGTAATTTATTGGGGTCTGTACATAGAGACAGGGGTCTGTTTAGGAACTGTGGATTGTAATAAAGTGATTTGTGGCACTGATTGTTCCAAAAACTGTACTTTGAAGCCTCCAGTAGCAGGTTTGAGGTAGGCTTTGTTGGCTCTCTGCAGTTCTTATCTATTGGACCATCCCATGAGGTGATCTAGATGGCCTATCCTGAGGCAAACTTCATGTGCTTTAGAAAGCACATATGCCCATAATTTGGGATGGCTGTGGCAACCTGTTCCTGACCTGACCATCACTGTTTATCCCATCTGCCCTTCCAGAAGGATCACGGGATTGACATCAAACAGAGAAGGCACCTTTTTTTTTTTTTTTTTTAAACTCTAAGAGCCACGAATCACCTGCAAACAGCAGGTGAGATTTATAGGAGCCCCTCTGGTGAGTTCAGGCTGCCTCCCAGGACAGCACTGACAACCAGCACTTGGCTTCACAAGCAGTTTGGTCTTCAAGTCAGTCTGGAGACAGGCGAGCTCCCAGCGGAGGAGATAAAGCTCAGATGGGCAGACGGGAAAATGTCTGTTCAGTGTTCCCGCCGTTCCCGTAAGTTGCCGTTTCCTGCAGAGCTGCACTTTTAACTCAGGAAATTTTTAAACTCCCATTCAAACCCTGAAAACCAGGATAAGTAATGGTTCTTAATGGATTATTTCTTCTGTATGCTGTTTGCTTAGCTTTTACATTTTCTTCTGCCTCCTGCATGACTCGGCTTCACTCAGTTGCTGTGCACAAATTATAGGTTTCCAACATTAATAGAAGTTCATGGTTTTTAGAAATGTTTTGAAGGGAAGAAAAGGACGAAAATATGATCTTTGTGTCCTGACAGACAAGCCTCCAAACCTTTTTTAAAGCAAATTTTAATTAGATTATTCCATCGGAAAGCATTCTTTTTTACTTCAAAATACAGAAATGTCATCATGATGATGAGTTTGATCATGACGTTACTAAATAATTATTTGCTATCGTAATTTTTTAAAATAAAAACAAAAATAGTGCTCTGCAACTATTTTAAAGCAAACCCACTCATATCTCCTCTTTAAATTTTAACATAAAAATACTTAACTGTATATCAAGAAAAGCTATAGAATGCAGGGAAGTATTCTGAGATGAACAGCTATGCTTGTTGTATTTTACTTCAATGATAATTTCATAAGTTAAGTGGATTTAGCTTACCTGGATGCCCTTCAGTCCACACAGGAAGTAGTTATGCCATTGAGGTTTGGTTTTGTTAATCTGAATGTTATTAACACTAGTACTGAAATCCCTGCAAAAACAGAAAAACCTTGAGGCTTAAATTTGTATTGAATTTAGTTTGAAAAAACATGTTGTTACTGCCACCTGCTGATGGACAAAAACAGGTCAATGTTTTTCAATGCAATGTGTTTTGGTTTGTTTTGTGGTTTTTAACAGATATTCTTTATTAATCAATTCTATAAGATTATTTTAGATGAAAGCATAAGAATTCTTGCTGAAGTATACAGAATTTACTAGATAAATCCAGAATTTAGGCTGCCTTTGACATCCTTAATTAAGGCAGAATGCCCTCCATCATGGATGTGTATGCAATCCTGATATCTTAGAGAAGTAAAAATCTAAATAATCATGTCTGTCAAACCTTGAATAGAGAGAGATAAATTTCAGGCTCTCTGGTAATTCCTGCTCAGAAATTCATCTTTATCACCTTTGCTCTGAACAGCACTTCACTAAAACAGGTCTAATGCTGCAGAGTTCTATTACGGACGTTACAAGATGTAATTAAAATTATTTAGTTTAAATAATTTCTCTGTTTCCTCCGGGATAATTCCTACTCCATCCTCCTTGCAAAATAATAAAAAGAGTAAGCTTGAATGTTCTTAAAGAAACTAATGCTAGATAGGTGCTGTCAAAATGGGTATGGAATGACTCACAGAGCCTCAGAGGAGTGGGCATCAGTCCCCAAGAGGTGCAAGTTGTTCAGAAGTCTTTACTCTGAACACCCAATAGCTGTATCTACCTGATGCCGTTACAGCAGGTGCCCAACACTGAAACAGGAAAGGCACCAAGAAGGTCAAGAAATCTAACAAAGTATATTCCAAAGTTGCAGGCTAAGCTGTGCTTTTTAAAGCAAGGTCTGCCAAACAACATGAACAGAGGCAGCTGAATGTCACAGAAATATTTAGGTTTAATGGGAATAAAACCACTTTCAAAAAATTATACTACTGGAAAGCAGGCAGATCAATATGAGAACTTTATAATAAAATAAAATAAAAAATTGGGGAAAACATACCCATGAAATAAAAGTATTCTGATATTGTCTGTTCTAGCCTTTCTTTTTTAGAGAATGCTTGGGAAAGAATGCCACTTCTCCATGACTAGATATAAGCATTGCATTTCTTCTGTATAATGACAAGAGATGAGATTTTTGAGTAGAGTGGCTGAGGCATTTTTTACTGCTCAAATAGTAAATAATCCTTATGTTTGGAGACCAATTTGGCTCTTTCTCACAGAACTTCATTGTCTTGTCAGTCTGTTAGTTTATGTGTTTGAGTCCTCTGTACAAATACCCGGATTTAAAAGAAACCCAACAAACAACAAAGCTTTCAGGCCATGGGATGGAAACTGATTGGTAATTACCATCCTCTGGTACTTCTGAAGGCATTTTGAGAAGTATAATGCCAGATATTCTCTGTGCACATACTTCTCAATTACAAAGACGTTATGTGAAGGGGAGGTATCAGGAACTTCAAAAGACTGTAAGTACTGAATACCATTTTAGCCCTAATAACATAAAAGGTGTCAGATCAGTTGAGACGGTTTATGATGAAAAACAAATAGGTGGTTTTTCTAGCAACCTGTTCTCTGTCCTATTTTTCCTAAAAGCTAACATGAACTATCAGGGTGGAAGCCACAGAACTGTTACACATTTTACCAGTTCACAAAACTAGAATTAAACAGGAAATAGTGATTCTATGGAGGTTTATGATTTGTCCTTGTTCACCAAGGCCTATATATGTGCATTCACCACAGGCATAAATCTACCAGTGTAACAGGCTGGGAAAGAAAGACATACTGTCATCAGTTTTGTTTGTGGTGTAACATTCAAAGTGTTGAAAAATATTTCTTTGTTATGAAATTATGGGCATGTTTCAGCTTTGTTTTTAAGCAACAGTGCCTCAACAAAACCAAGATGTTAATGCTGAATTCTGAGACCTCTTCTTGGTTTATGGTTTACAGCATATGATCTCAAACTGAAACCAGGGCAGATGTAAAAATATAGTGATGGTGTGTGCAGTCTGAATTCAAAGGCTGTAATTCTAGATTTGATAGGAACTCTATACACCTTAGGAGAAGGCCATTTCAACCGTGATATAATATGGCAAAGCTTGAAGACCAAGTAAAAATGTTTACCTTGTAATTACTGCTTTATTTATTGTCCATTATAACAACTACTCCTAATCAAAGCTTCTCTAAATCTGAAACTATTGCCTCTTGCAGAATGGTTTTGCAATACAGCTTCAGCCCTGTTTGGAGGTTGCTACTGAAGAAAGGGAAAGGTTCCATGCACATCTTTCATTCCTTCTGCCCCTGCTCAGCACTGCTTGTTCCCACTGTTTACCCCATGTCAGCTTTAGTGCTGAGTGCATGGCAGTTCACTAAAATGACAGAAAATTAAGCAAGCAAAAAGGGGGAAATAGTGCACTTTACCTTAAGATCAAACAGATACCACACCTGCTAAAAGGCAGAGGATGGATCGATGTTAGAAGCAGGGACAGGGAGACTTGGGGTAAAAGAAGCACCATTGCCTTCTGGCAGTGGCAAATTCTTAATTCAGCCCAGCTATAATGTGAAAACATACTCCAGAGTGAGTGAAAAGTCTGTGAGTATTTATACTTACCATGCAAGCACAAATTCTTTTCAACGGTTTTAGTCACAGGCAGCAGCTCAGAACATGTTTTTGTAACAAACTGAGCTTTAAGCAGGAATATGTGCTCAAATAGTTCTCACTTTTGGCAGTGTGTTCCTGACCCCGTGTTGCCACACACTGTGCTTTCAGGGAGTAATTTACCATTGGTTTAAATAATAAAAATGGCTTAAACTAAGCTTATGCTGATTCTGGCTTTTGCAAAATGTCCACAAAAGCTCATGTGGGTGAGTGACCTGATTTGAACTGCCATGCAACTACACAAATATCAGTTTATTACAAGGAGGCAGAACAACGTGGCTGAAGTTGAAAAGAATGGCAGGATTATTTCCCTATGTTCAGCACTTGTGAGACCATAGCTGGAATACTGCATCCAGTTTTGGGGTTTCCCAATACACGAAAGACAGTGGTGAACTGCAGGGAGTCCAGCACAAGGCCATCGGGATGTTTACAAGGATCTCCGAAGGTCCCTTCCAACCTGAACTGGTCTATAATTCTGTGAACAAGCAGCTGTGGAGGAAGTAGAAGAGAAAGAATACAGATTTTTTGAGCCAGGACTGTTGCTACAGTCGGACTGTTGTGTTGTGAAAACACAGCCCCAGGTTCTCCAGAGCAGGGGAGTGTTAGCTTACCTATGCAGTAATCGATTACAAAACATTTCACTCCCTTCTCCAGGAGAAACTGAACTGCTGCCAGTTATGGGGATTATATCAAGACAGATGAGCTAAAAGAAGGGAAGACAGAATTGCACCTTCAGAAGGATTGAAAAATCAGAGGCCTTACAAGAGAGAGATGAACAAACAGGTAGGAGACAGCAGCTGCAAATCTATTGCTCTAAACTAATACACAGCACGGAGTCAGTGGAATTCCATCTGCTGATAGGATTTGTTTTACACAGTTGCACTCTGTATGGCAATAGAAGTTTGTCAGCTCTCTGGAAAGGTGACTTGTATTGCAATTGCATGAAGAGGTTCACAAAAATTAGTGAATAAACAACATAATTACTTACAAGTATGAAGAATTGGTATTTGCCAGTTGCACAACTTGAGTCTGTACAGGTTCTGCTGCAATCAGGATATCTTGTTCTATAGCCATTGGGAGCACAGCATAACCACAGTAGTCTATGTGTTCTCCTATCAACGAAACAGACAAGGAAAATATTTTGGAATAGTCTGGAATAGCCATAACAGAGCTTTTACAGGAGTTCGGTGCTGTTTACTGTATTGGACAGTTTCTTAGTGTAGTTTCAACTCTTATTATTTGATGTTTGGGGTGCATTTCCTCCATTTCATATTACTTCACACAAAATTTCTTCTTTAGTGATTTTATCTATTGCACCCATTTATAAATATTCATTTTTTACACTGGCTTACAAAAATTAGAAAAAACCACCATGTAGATTATTGTCCAGCAATGAGAACAGCCACATTATTTGTACACTGTCATGTGCATACAATTTCTGGACATTTTTCCAGGAATATAATAATTATGTTTAAATAATCATTAATACAGTTGCATACAACACATAAGGTGTAAATGTCCTCTCTCTTGGGAATAATTCACAGTTACCATATGCTGTCTGTTTAATCTATGTCATATGTTCTCACAACACCGACATAAAAATTAATTAATTGCACAACAGACTAACTAATTTTAAAGCTCTGTTTTGCAGGATCTTTCTACTTACAATGTCTTCAAATGCATAGGGATACTTCATATACAGGAAACTGAGCTCCAGGGAGAGCAAAATCCTAACATGGATAAAGAAATCTCAAAAATAACACTGCCACAGAAATGCAAGTAAGTCCTACATACGAAATAATTGTGTCTCTCCAGTCTGCCAGTGAATCACATCAACTATTCTAAGTTGTGTGGACACACCTCTATGGAAGAGAACAGAAGAGGAGATGATGTAGAATCATTTCATGCTTTATCATATGCATTGCTGTGTGGCTGGTTATATTTAGTAACTTAAATTATAACAGAAGAGAAAATATACACTAATTTAATTTGTGGATGCACTATCCATGAACTACTTCAGATTTCCAAAGCCTTTCCAAAAAATGGTATTCACCCATAAGCTGGAAAGTTACTCCAATTTTCAAAACCATCACTGCTGTCTATAAATGTTTTTTCCAAAACTAACATGGAGGTACAGTTGTTTATAACAAGCTATAGTAAAAGCTACTAAAGTATATATGATTTCCCATTTATCACAAGAAACTTCTCTGAGAAAAAAATTAAATTATTTCCATTCTGTGTTTTAAACTATTAGACTTCCATGATGGCAGATAAAGCAAAATAACAGAAGACTAATTTTCTCCTTTACCTATTAAGTTCACTCGTCCTGGTGCACGAGCATAAAACTTGGGAGCTGATCCATATTTTGATATAAACATTTCCTTCAGCTTCTGCAATCTGAAAGGCAGGTTAGAAATATTATAGTTAGGAAGGTTAGAAAGACTATATTTGCATAAAAGGCAGGAATGTTCAATGTTTCTTGAAGTAAATTCAGTTGAATTTTCTGAAGTATGTGGAGTTTTCTCTGATGCATCAGGAGAGACATTAAACTGCTTATTTCTGCTCTTCACATAACATTGTGACAAAGACAACTATTTAGAATATTCTAATTAATAAGAAATGTATATAGTCACTTGATAAGGATTAGCAGAGGCCTTATTTTATTTAAATTCTTTGTCTAGGTTGGGTCTAGACAGAAGCAGGGAAGGCAGCTGCCTGGGATAACAAAATACCACGGTCTCCACCCACCTCTTCTATGCCACAGCTCTGTAAAACTGTTTGCCATTGAGGAGGAATCTGGCAGTGTGGACCAACAGCTCATTTGTGGCACTGGGATTTGTCACACACCCAGAGACACTCCCTTTAAAGTCAAATCTGGCCACCCCAGGTCTGAGCAAATTAATTTTCTTCTGAGTTTTGATTTTTATCAGTTTCCACATTAGCCACTCCCCCATCTCTGTACAAATGCATATACAGACAACTAAAATTCCAAACCTCAGCTTGTTCCTTCAATTTAGATAGTATTTCATCCACAAGATTACAGGAACAGTTCCCAGGAAATTCTTTAAGCTTTCTGTTTGGAGGTCCTAGATGTGCTACTGAAAGTTCAATGCAAAGAAACTCTGGCATACTGCTTTATTGCCTTAGACTGTAAAGACGTGTTTGCAAAGTTGGGATACTTTAGTGTGTCATGCAGAACGTGGTGGGTAAACAAAGGCTGAGAACAGATGAAGCCATTATCTTAGTGTAGCATAGGAAATTTGAGAGTAACTCACTTCAAAACTACCTTAAAGCAAAATTTTGGTGTCCTAACAAAAATCCAGTAACAGCAACCCTGATAAGGTATCCACATTTAGTCTAAAACTAGAACTGGAAGCCTAGTTAATACAAAGTGGAAGAAAACAGCAATGAGAAACAGATGTTAAAAATTTCACAATTATTTAGTTTGTATTTCTTCGTAAAGGCTGTGTTACTGTCCAATTACATATATTCAAATGTTTTGTAAGATTTCCTTAAATGGAAAGCTACAAAATATCATTTGTTACGATTTTCTTTAACAGATTGTTTATTACTTTTCCATCTTGGTACCCAGTAACAACGCTGTATCAGGTCCCTCTATAATTTCTCCTTCTTATAATCTCCCCTAGTATTGACTGGTATATCGCTCTTCCAATTAGCAGAAGCAATTTTTGCCATTTCACTGTACAATCTCTTCTCTAGATCACATTAATAAATATTATAGTCCATGGGGGAATCTGTTGGCAGAATTCTAGGTGTTAACTTTATTCCTTTTTGTGTCAGTGTTTAGAATGCTGCCTTGTTGCACAGATATTTTTATAGTGTTGGTACTAAGAGACTAACAACAAACAAAGCAGTCATGGGGGCATGTTTATCTAAGTGTTGATTGATCTCTTTTTTTAATGTGGGTTTTACAAGCAGGCCTGATGAAAGGCTATTTACAGGCTCTGGCCTTGATGTTGCAACACACACACTGCATTTTAAGCACCTACATCAAAAAGAAGATTGTCAGAAGCGTTAAGCAAAGGCATCCCTCACAGCTTCACACATCCAAGTCTGGAAGTGCTGGACTTGTCCTTTCCATGTGACTTACAATGCAAGTAAATGAAGTTTTAAAAGGTGACTCTTCTGTGATGCTAACGCAGTTGAAAAGGTTGGTTTGTGTGTGTTCTACCTCCACACACAGAGCGCGGCTCCGTGGGGAAGGAGCGTGTGCTGGCACCTGCCACGGCAAAGCCACCGTGGGGCCGGGCCTGCCCTGTGCCAGGGATTTTATAGCAAAAAGAAAGAGAAGATAATCAGTAACGCCAAAATTCTGGGGGAAAAAAGGTAGGAGGAAAGCTGAATGAATGAATGAATGAATGAATGATTCCCCCTGCTGCCCCAGCAGCACCCCAGGGCCACGCGGCGTGCCACTGCCACGCTGGTCGTGCAGGGAGGAACCCAATCACCACCAGCCAAAACCCCCTGGCAGCTCACCCGGGGGCACGACGAGGGGCCGGCCCACCTGCCCTCCCACCTCCCGCGACCGCCCACCCGCCCCGGGATAAGCGGCGGCGGGGCCGGGGAGCGACCCACCCACCTGGGCTGCTCCACCAGCTGCACCGGGAGGGCGGCGGGGCCGTCCCCCGCCATGGCGGCTCCGGCGGTCACGGGGCCCGCACACGCCGCGTCCTTCCGGGCGGCAGCGCCGGCGGCCCAGCCCCGGCCCGGCCCGCCCGCGACCCCTCGCCCGCCGCAGCCCAGGCGGGACAGGAAAGCTGCTGCCACGTGCCAAGGAAGCGTTTAGGTTTTTTTTTTCCCCCTGCATTCCTGCCGGTTCTCCGGCAAAACGCACTTGCAATGAAAACAATAAATTGGCAGTGCCGTCCCCTCCGGCGTCGTTCCTTCCCTTTGTTTTTTCTGGTGTGCGGTTCTGCCAGCTCCCCTCCCAACAAGCCACCTCGGGGCTCCCGATACCCCTCGGATTAGTGGCTGCAGATACGCAGAGGAACTGAGAGTTCCAAAAGTGTTTGCAGGTTCACTTGCTCAGTGTTACTGCCCATTTTGGTGTATGTCTTTGTCCATTTTGGCTTATATCTTTGTCTGTTTTGGTCTGTATCTTCTGGCGCTTCATATCCCACTCGTGGAGCTTTTCAGGAGTGAAGGAAGCACAGTAACAGTGAAATTTCATTGTGGGTTTTCTGAGGTGAAGCTTTTTTCTCCCTGTTAGTATGGTGGCAGAATACAAACAGAGTTTTTAGAAGACTTAACGCAACCTTTAGGGAAAAAAAAAATTCTGTCAGAAACCATAACAATGTCAAATGACCAACAACAGGAAAATCTGGAGACCCAGTAAATACGGCAGATGCATCTAGGAGCCCGTGAGAACCCCAGGCCTGGTGGAGATGGGGAGGCAGAGCTGGTCTGTTGGGGGTTTTGCATCGCTCAGTTGAAGGCAGAAGCAGAAATTAAGGTGTAAAAATCTTTATAAACCATTGCTTTGCAAGGCCCGTGCATTTTAACAGTTCAGGCCTTTAAAACTGCTGCTCCGGGACTTGCTTATGGCAAACACAGCCCATGTAAACTGTTCAGCAGCACCAAGTGAGGCAAATGGGCTGCACTGAGGGCTGAGCAGCACTGCCAGTCCCAGTGTCTGGACCGAATCACAAGATGGGTCAGGTTGGAAGGGACCACAGTGGGTCATCTGGTCCAACGTCCCTGTTCAAGCCGGGTCATCCTAAACCACATTACACAGGATTGCATCCAGACAGTTCCTGAATATCTCCAGTGAAGGAGACTCCACAACTTCTCTAGGCAACCTGTTCCAGTGCATGGTCACCTGCAGAGTAAAGAAGTTCTTCCTCGTGTTCAGGTGAAACTTCCCATGCACCGCTTTCTGCCCATTGTCTCTTGTCCTATTGCTTGTCACCATGGACCAGAGCCTGGCTCCATCCTCTTGACACCCTCCCTTTAGATAATTATACACATTAATGAGGACCCCTCTTAGTCGCCTCTTCTTGAAGCTGAACAGGCCTAGCTCCCTTAGCCTTTCCTCCTAAGAGATTCTCCAAACCCTTGACCAGCTCAGTAGCTCTCCGCTGGACCCGCTCCAGGAGCTCCATGTCTCTCTTATACCGAGGAGCCCACAGCTGCACACAGCACTGCAAATGTGGCCTCATCAGGGCTGAGCAGAGGGGCAGAATCACCTCCCTCGACCCTTCCAGGGACCCACAGCCCCCGCGGGAGGCGGACACCCGGCGGGCGGCCCTGGCGCCAGCACGGCTCGCTCCCGGCGGCAGGAGCGGCAGAGCTACCCGGGGAGCTCCGGCGTGCAGAGCCCAGGCCCCGCCCGGCCGCGTTGCCACGGCCCGGTCGCTACCAGGGGCAGGGCGGCCGGCGGCGGGGCGGCGCGGATTGGGCTCGGAGCGGCCCGGGCCGGGGGCGGGAGAGGCGCGGGCGGCACCGCGTTCCGGGCGGAGCGGAGCCACATTGGGCAGCGCCGCGCGGGCTTCTGGGAGAAGGGGCCGTCCCCGCCACCGCCCCCCCGCCCGTCCTCCGGCCAAGATGTCTGACATGGAGGATGATTTCATGTGCGATGATGAGGAGGACTACGACCTGGTAAGGGCGCGGGGCGGCGCGGGGGCTCGGCGGTGGGGCCGGGGGCGCGGCCGGCGCGGAGCCGCTCCGGGCCGGGGCTGGTGCGGCGCGCCCGCCGCAGCTGCCGCCCCGCCGGGGCTGCCCCGGCAGGGAGCGCGGACAGGCAGGAGGAGTTTCCCTGCCGGGGAGGAGGGCGCGGGCAGCGGGCGGTGGGTGCGAGGGGCGGGTGCTGCCGTGGGAGCAGCCCCCGGCCGCCTCTCCCTGGAGGAGCAGGCTCCGGGCCGGGCAGGTGGATAGGCCCGGGCTGGCCCGCGGGCTGGCCCCGTGTCCCCGCAGGGCTCGGGGTGAGGGCAGGCTCCGATGCGCTGCCCCCCTCTCTCCCTCCCTCCTCCTGCCCCCGGCCCGAGTGTCGGGCACGAAGTAAAGTGATAAAGTTGCCCGGCCTCCTCCCCGCCCGCGGCTCCGAGAGGCCCTTGGGGGTGGATGCGGTTCATGTGCTTGTGCGGGCGACAAACTGAGGGAAAAGTGGGGGGAAGAGAAAAGGGGGTGAGGAGAAGGGGCCGCACGGCCGGTTTCTGACGCAAAACGCTGAAGGATGCGCTTGTTTTTAACTTTTTGTTTTTATAGCCTTAGCGAGCGTTTTGCCACCCCCGTTTTGCTTTTAATTGCAAGGTTTGGGGGGTTTTCCTGTTAACATTTTACTAAATGTTGACATCAGGTTTTGTCCTAAGCTTTTACAGTTAAAAAAATTGCTGCTTTTCTCATTGGTTTTATTTATATTGCCCTCGCTTGTTGTTTTTTTCTGCTTTTACGAACTTTCCATGGGTTTTTAAACTAGAGACATTTAAAAAACACCCTGTGTATGGTTGAGGCTTCAGTGCTGCAAACTCCGGACACTTGTTTCTGGAAGATTTGCTTTCTAACAACTATTTGGTAATCCTTGCACCTTATGAATTCACTTAAAATACTTACCTGATTTTATTTGAAATAGTTTCTGGGCAGTGTTTATTATGAGCCGCTCAGAATGGCTGGATGACATTAGATACAGAATAAAAGCACCTGGGTTTGGTTTTGAGGGATTTTTTTCGTTCATGTAGGAGTGCTTATGACCAGCGTTGTTATCATAACCCTATGAGCTGCTTGTGTTCCAAGGACTGTTAGTGTTCCCCTTAAGTCTATGAATGAATTCACAGACTTTCAAAAACAAGGTTACTGAAGAAAATACAGAGACTGTTTAAAACCGAATTTTCATTCATTTTCATTAACACTGAAATTGGTGTCCTGATTTAAAATACTATGGGTTTTTTCCACGTGATACAATCAGAGGAGAATTCATGTTGAATATCCATCCATAACATGAGAACTGAACATGTCGAGAAACCATTGGAATTGCATTTTTCAGTCTTTAAAGGTACAAATTTGAGTAAGACTGCAGCTCAAACTCCTGCTGCATTTTGGCAGTTTTCACCAAGAATGGTTTAATGCTTTTTCCTGTGTTTCTTTCTTCTGAAGTATGTACTTTCTCATTGGAAAAACCTTCCTGAAACGTCTTGCTTGTGGCAGGTTTCAGCCTCTGACTGTAGTTACTTTCACTGGAATATTTTCATCATCATTAATTACTCCTAGCCCAGACCTTTCCAAAATTTAAAAATACTGCTTGTAATAATTAGGAGCGTGTTAGTTTTTTCCTTTCAGTATGTAACTCCATGTAAAGCATTAACTAAAGCTACAGATTTTAAAATTTAATTTCAGTTCATAACTGATGGGGGGGGAAAAAGCCCCCAGAATTGAATAATCAAAATATTCCAGCTAGACTGGTTTCAGCATTCCAGGACTAACAGACTGTGATTGGCTGTTGTTTTCAAATGTGCTTGAGACTGTAATTGTAGTGTTCCACAGAATTGTTTCAGAAAAAAAGTTAAGGCCCCTGAAGATAGGGCCTGGTTTCATCTTTTCATGTTGATATAAATCTAGTTATATTAAGAGAAGACTCTATAAGGGGATGCATGAGTCTCAAGTTCAGCGAAAAGGCTGCTGCAGAAGGCTTTGCAACAAAAAAAATGAGTACAAGACAAAATACTCAGACCAGTGCAGAGCTGAAAATAAAGGAGCACGTGTGAGTGCAGGTGAATACTTTTTTTGAGGAATAGGAGGAGAGGCAGTAATTAGAGAAACAGTTAAGGAAAGAAGAAATAGCAATTTTGTCAAAATACAGTATGGTGAAACTAGGTTCAGGTTTCCCAGGGTAGCTACTAGCATAACGGTCGTACTGAAGACTCCCCCAGAAATTCATTTTGTCAGCTTTTATTAGAAGTGATTATGGCTCTTTAAATGTGCACTTGACCTGCTGATTATGGAGAACCAGTCAGTCAAATTTCCTTAAGTATGCAAATGTTTCACACTTGAATTGAAATGTGAACAGATATTCTGAAGGCCTAGCTCTTTCCCAACTTCATCGTGGAATTTTGTATAATTAGAGTAATTACTACACTGTTAAACAATTGAAGACTTTACAGGTTGTACTTGACTGTTTCGATTTAGTTTTTCATTGGGTAAAAAGTCAAGGTTTTGTATGTAAATGACCTCAGCCACTCCTAGAGAAGTTAACTTTGTTTACTGGGAGTCTTGATATCAGGAAGAAATTCCATTTATGTTTGTGTGGATGGACCTAGATTCACAGTTTGCTGCTAATGTGCAGTGACAGCCTTGATTATAACATGGATTATTCCACTTCATGCTTCAATGAACAGAATAATGTTTACTGGTCATTAGGAAACCACTCAATTTTCATTTCTGGTTTAATTTCTACATTCGAATTTCTAGCTTTTAGGTGCCTTACATGACTTCAGTCCAAGTTCTTTTTACTAGATCCAGCCTGAGGGTGGAGAAGGACAGGGAGGGAAGGACCATTGTAAATTCCATTTTTGTTTTCAGTCTGGGACAAAAGACTATGTTTAGAATTGACTTTGAGGCTAAACTCAGCCTTCATCCAGAAATTGATTCTTCCAGGCACAATGACAAACACATTGACAGTTGTTGTAGTACGTCTACTGGATTGTTTTGTTTTAAATAAACAAGGCATTTGTCTGTGGTGTTCTTAAGTATTGTGTTCTGAAATTAAAGGAAGGTTGGACAAATCTGTTTTCTGAGCAACTGGTCTTTTTTATGTTATGGAGTTGTATGACTTCAGCGACTTGAGTGGAAAAACTGGATAAAATTCTGAGGAACAGCCATCAGTTTGCACCCTGCTGAGAGGGCTGCAGGTTCATGAGGATTGGTGTGGCTCAAGTATGGGGAGCATCCCCTTAGATTACTGAGGATTTCCTGTTTCAGACTGTGATGATATTGGGAAATAGGTACTCTTATTATTTATTTCAAGCTACATGAATTGGTTCATTCTTTATTTCCAACAGAGAGAAATATACTCCATTTCAAAAGGAATTTTTTTATGTTACCAAACTTGATAACCAATCTTGTCAGTAGGTAGAGACATTATCCTATCTTATATTGATGCATTGAAATTTTATGCAGATATTGTCACCTCTTCCCAACTGTTCATGTTTCACTATTGCCATTATTTTAATAAATACATAGATATGTTGCAGACGAGAAAGTGATAATTCTGCACAAACAGGCTTTTACAACTAAAGAAATACCAAATCAAGCAGATCCAGTTTACCCTCTTCTGTTTCCTTGTTATGTTTAATTACATTAGTATGTGATTTAAAAAAATAAAAGTGAGCTTCACAGAGGACATAGGATGTACTGTTCTCTGAATTAATTACTGTTTCATATTTTATAGAGTTTCAGCATATGTCCTGAGATTTTATTTTATGCATTCTCTTCAGACTTATCTTTAAACACAGAATTGATATATGTGGGGCTTGTTTTGCTCATTGAAATGTCTCAGAAGGAAGTATTGAGGTAAAAAGCCTGAAAATAATTAGTCAGTAAATTCTTTCTGTCTGACCAGTGACAAGTGTCAGTAAGTTCTGGGGTTTGTTGGCTTTTTTTGACAGTTATTCAGCACTGTGTTCAGAACAGAGCTCTCCAGGATCTGATATGCAGTTGGGTGCTTAACAGAAGCAAATTAGATCTAAGTTATGCTCAAAACTGGACTTTCTGAAAAGGATTGCAGGTGACTGTAGGAGAGCTGTGTGACAGAGGTGGAAAGTAAAGGCACCTTTTTACTGTACTCTTTACATGTCATAATACCAGGTTTCTCCTTCTGCAGTCTCCTGTCTCATTTCTGTGCATCTTCCAACTGGAAAAAAAATTAAAACAAAGGCAGAGCAGAGTCTTTCATGGGACTCCTCTGACGCCACTGCAAATCGCTGGTTTCACAGCCTTCTATTCCTGGTGTCAGCCCTGGTGTGAGCCAGCAGGCACGGGATGACTTGCACAGTTAGTGAGTAGGAGCAGAAGAGCAGAGACCTGGAATGTGGAAAAGAAACCAGGCCTCCCAATGCCTGGCTGAGTGCTTGCAGACTTCTCACACAGATCACACTGTTGTTTTTGCTCCCAGCGTTTGCCTCTGTTCTTTTCCTCCTTGCTCTTTTGCATTCCAGTCTTACTGCTTTCTTTATATTCATGTGCCTGGATACCAGCAGCAAATGCTCATAGAAACTGGTACTTGCTTTTTGTCCTGATGCCTGCAGGCCAGTGGTCCAGGAAGAGCAAATGCAAAGAAAGTTGTGCTTAGCAGACTTCCTGAATGCCATGGTTAGGAAACAAAGTTAGCTGAAGTAAAACTAAATTTGTACCCGACTTATTCTCAGAAACAATTGTACTTCATTAAAAAAAAAAAAAAAAAATGTTTGAGTCAGCCAAATGGTTGAAATTTGGTAAAATTACCAGCAATTGAAAATTGACAGTAATAAGTATTTTCAACAATGTCCTTGAAGGATTCATTTTTACAGAAATAGATCTCTTTATATTGTGTCTTTCTTCTGGAAAGTTATCTTTGTATAGCTACTTTCCACCTTTTTTTTTTGAGAAAGGCTTGCAAAGTTTAGTTCCTGTAGAGCTGGTGAATGACAAACAATGAGCACTGGGGGGCTGCTCTCTCAGCCCAGCAGGATCAGCCATCAGCAAGGACTCTACAGCATAAAACCCTGAATTGCTGCAGGGAAGGGCAAAGGGATGCTGGGACTGCAAATGGACAGGGAGGATCTGGGAGCACTGGGTGCTCTTAACCTGCCTTTGCTGCTGGAGAAACTGCAAATGGATCCATGCACTAAAAAGGATGATTAAAGCTGACTGGGGTGAACTGACTTCTGTGTGTGCTCATTTTAGAATCTGAGGCTTAATGTTTTATAGCTGTTTACTGGATAAAATGAATTTTATGAAAATACGTAATGTAATAAAGACTTGTTAATCAAATTGGTTCCTTGGTACTAATTTAACTTTTAATAAAACTATCTGAAAGAACTATGTTCCAGGCAGAGTAAGCTATGTCAGGGGTTTTATCTCCATTACAGTTGAGCTAGTGTGGTAATTTCTCTTCCCCCAAGAAGTGATGGGATGGGATTCTGTTGTTTATAACTGAATGCATTTAGAACATGGAACAATGCTTAAATAATGTCTTAAGCTCTTTAACTCCATTTTTTCCAGACTCTATCAGGGCTTTCTAATTTTTCGAGTACTAATTAAAAAAACCCACTTGCTTGGTTTGATCTCTGAGCAGGGAAGAACCCAGGGGTTTTCAAAGATCAGTTCTGCATACTCAGGCTATTTTTTTTTCATTTGAACTTATAATGTTGATGTCCCTTTGAAAAATATCACCAGGATCTTAATTTTAAAAATTCTTAGGCCTGTGACTTTTTTTACATCAGCTGGAGATAAAGTATCACACAGGTGATACTTGATCTTGAAGTTCTAATTAAGAGTGTTGCTCACTATGCAGCTTGTTAGGTCTAGATCCTATAGTAGAAATTCTTAAGAGTTATTTACAAATCCTTTTTGTAAAGCGTATGTTTCTACTTAATTTGCAACAAACTTCTAAACTGAGAGGGTTGCGCTGGGAAAGTTGTTCAAGCAGGAAGCAGGGGCATTAAAAATGAGGGTGAGGAAAGGTTAGGCTTTTGCTATCTGAATTTATTGTTAAAAGAACTCTTCTGTTTCCAGAACTGAGAAGGAAATGCATCTTTTTCTTAGTTTCACCTTTGAGGATACAGCTTCATGCTTCCCTCCTTCTTTCCTTTTGCTTTTGGCAGAAGCTGAATGTTTTTACATTCGTATCCTACTGCACTAAGCCATCTCTGCCTCAAAAGAAGGCAGAGTGCTGGTCCTTCTGAATTTATCACCACTGATATAATAAGCATCAGTGCTTGAATTAAGATACAGTGTCTACATGGCTGATTTTTTTATTAATATCATGTACAGATTAATGGCATCATCTCATACTTAGTTCAAGGTTTGAAAGTTTTCTTCACAGCTATTAAGTCTAAATATGTCTTTTAAAGTAACCACCTTACATTTTCTCCCTTAAAACTTTGAGTCCTTATCAACAGCCTGAATCTGATGTGAGGCAAATAGGCATCAAGTGAAGAAAAAATACAGCTGTGAGACTTTGATGCATTTCAAAGCATTTCCAGTGGGGAAAAAAATTATCTCTAGACTTAACACTTCTTCTTTATTATGTATTAATATTATGAAAATAGCTTTATGGGATATTGAAGTATCATTGAGAAAAATTATCTGAAAAAAGGTTTCTTGCATGAATCCACATCCAGAATCCCTGCCAGAGCTAAGAAGAAAATTCAGATGTTCCTGGCTTTAGGCTAAAAAAGCATATTGCCTCCTAAAAGGAATTAATTTAGTTTGCTTTCCTTTTATCTTTACAAATAGACACTTCTGCCAGAAATATTCCCCATTGTTCAAGTTAAGCATAAACAAGACTTCAGCTGATTACACACATCTTAAATGTTATGTTGTTTAATTTTTGGCAGCCTGTATTTCCATAAGGTGCCTGATACAGCTGTTGACATCATGTTCACGCACTGGTAGCTGCTGCTCCACCAGAGCTGGATCAATAAAGACTTCACAAAAACAAGCTGACCAAAATGAAAGCCTGCCCAATGAAATGAGACACTTCCTGTTTTCTTTGCTGTTTTCAGTATTAAGTTTTTATAGCTCTGTGGGAATTCAGAAAACAGGTTTGTGGAATTGAGACCATTCATTCTCACTAATGCTAATACTTTGTGGAGTGAAAATAAATACATACATGGGCAACTTGCCTACATGTTACAAATAGAAACATTAACAGGTAGAAGGACAAATGTCTCAAGTACCATGTTTAATAAATTCTGAGTCAACTGTGAGCTCCCATGATTAATTTTTCCATTAGAACTTTAGAAAACTGAAACTTTGAAAGATTTGCTTTCAGTGCAGGGAGGAGAGAGCTATTTTAAAACTTCTCTTTTATCTCATCTTTTTTCATTCCTTCTTATGGTTTTGAAGGAGTCCATTAATAGTAGGAATATGAATGAACAAAAGAGTAAATGTGCCTGATGAAGTACAATAAAAGAATAAAATCCAACCTAAAAAAGAGCACCTTACTATGCATTGTTTATGTTGTTACAATGGCAAGTTACTGTGACAACAGTAACTTTCAGATTTAAACAGATTCTGTTAAACAGTTTATCTCCTAATAGCCAAGGACCCTATTCAGAGGAGTTGGCTTGAAAATTCAGAGGTGTGAAGTGGTTTTGAATCGTGTACACCTCACATGAAATTCTTATTTTAGCTTTGTTAGTGTTTTGTAATTTAGACACACAACGTTGTCCTTCAGCAACAGAAGATAAAATGTGTTGAGGAATTTTCATCAGAAAAAGTCTCGGAGTACTTTTTTTAAAAATAAAGTAATAATTGGTAGAAGTAAATACTTCAATTTGTTTGGCACCAGTGTACATGATGGGTAATTATTTGATTAAATTATTGTGCCTGTGCCCCACCCCACTGTCTTTGGCAGCATCCTTAGCATTTTCTCAATCATCTCCTGCTTCTCAGCACAGAAGCAGCTGGTGTTCTCATTATTCTTTTTTTTTTTAATTTCCTTACACAAGTATGAATCGTTATGGCATAAAAAGGCAGATTGGAGTGAGATTCATGGAAGCATTTGATATCCTCCATAGCTGAATCATTCCTTGTGCAGCAGCTCAGCCCCAGTCTGTTCTGGGGATGGCAGAGGTGGTAGAACAGGGTGCCTGTTGGAGAACCAGTGGGCATCCGTCCTTAAACACAGGCATTGGCAGAATTCCAACAATACAGTCTGTACTTGTCATAAAGGTGAAGCTGGTAGAGCTGTGAGTTCATTAATGCAGAAAGAAATCTGCTGGCAGGCAGATGTTGGTGGTTGGTGAGTCTGGTCTGGTAATGGGAGAGATTAAATCACCGTAAGGGTCCGTACCTGTCACATGCTCTAGAACTGAACATTCCCTGTTAGTTCCCAAGCGTTCCGTATCAGTTGGAGCAATGTCTTACTATATTTTATCCATTTTCAGCAGATTATTCGATGTTCTGAACCTTTCTTTTTTTCTCTTTTTCCCTTTAAAATGTAGGAATATTCTGAGGACAGCAATTCTGAACCAAATGTGGATCTGGAAAATCAATACTACAATTCCAAAGCTTTGAAGGAAGATGATCCCAAAGCAGCATTAAGCAGTTTTCAGAAGGTTTTCCATCTTTATGTTCTATCTCCTCTTTTTATATTAATTCACATTTTAAAATACTTGCTTACCATTTGAGTTATTTTCTGGAATTTTAAGAATAATTTTTAGGTTTACTACTGTGCTAAGTTTATCACTGGACAACTTAAAACCCCTGGCTGACTGCCTTTCAGGATCATTCTTAGGGATCATAAATAGGACATGAAATAGTCTTATTTTATCACAGATCTGAGTTTTTCATCTTCAGGATTTACTGAGTTAATTGAACAGTTCTAAATGTGTTTTCACATGTCAACAATAGAAGCCAGATCCGTTTGGTTTTTTTTTAACAAAAGTGTTTTCCCAAGTGGTTTATGTAACATATTATATTTGGTTTGCTATCTGATTCCAAAACATTAAATGTATAAATACTAAGTGACACAGAGTTTCTTTTCTTCATCTCAGTTTTAAATTTTTTGTTTGCACGCTGCTACCAGAAAGCAGTATGTTAGATGTAATTTTTTAAAGGAAAAGTAGGTATTTGCATCTCTTGGCTTATTTATAGTGTATAACAGAATTATATACATGACTTCAAAAAAACTTTCCAAAATTTTTACCTACGAAACATTCCCTTAACTATGTTACATTAAAACCTAGAAGCTTTTCTGCCATGTGTAATTCAGAACTGTACTTCTTTAACTAATTTAGTCAAAATTGAGTTGAGTCAGTTTTGCAGGGGGTGTTAAAGCTTTTTTGTGCATATGTATTTATGGAGCAGCAGTAAAGTTTAGTGTTTGGCACTAAAGTTCAGCGTTTGCTGCTAACAACAACAGCAATCACATTCACCCTCCCTACAGCAGCTAAGTTGTGAAAACTTGTAAGATACAAACCTCTCACCAATCTTTTCAATAATACCAGGAAAGAGTAAAATCGAAGAACAGGGCAGAGTTAAACATTACTTGGTAAGGAACAAAGTGGGGGAGGAAAGGCATGTATGGGATATGTACATTTTAAACAAGATATAAAATGGATTTAAGTTTGAATAAAGCTTTTATAAATATTGTGCAAAAAATTCTTCTATTTCAGGTATTGGAGCTCGAAGGTGAAAAAGGAGAATGGGGATTCAAAGCTCTGAAGCAGATGATTAAAATAAACTTTAAATTGGTAGGAATTCCAACTATCACTTGGGAGTAAATGGCATAAATACGTATTTGATCCAGAGACCTTAAGTTATTATTCTGATTTACCCCCATGACAACTAAATCTGCCAGAACTTGTCTTTTGCAGCCTTTAGTGGCTACTACAGACCTGGCAGGAAAATGATGGGGTGGTTGCAAGTCAAAGGCAAAGTGGATGCAAAATAGCTGCTGTAGTCAGCTGATACTCTCTGAAAGTCTGAGGCTCAGTCCTTGCTGTCCTGAGGTATCACACCAGTGAAAATGTTCATGTTCTTGTGTGTGTGTGCCCTGCACCAAGACAGAGCAGTGAAACATTTATATGCTGCATGTGCAGCTGTTCCAAACAGTTGTATGGCCAACTGTGTTTTCTTCATTGAGATAAATATTTTAAATGTCTATTCCATGCAGTGCTGATGAAGTTATTTCTGATTCTGCTGCTTATGAATAACGTGGTGATGTAAAAGTTCAAATAGCAACCACTCACTACTGCACAGTCCTTCTGTTATGCTTTCTTTCCTGTATGCACTTGCAAGATACAACTCAGTTTTTAATCATTAAAACAAAAATTATAATGTAATTTTGTTTTTCTTTTAGACTAACTTCCCTGAAATGATGAATAGGTATAAACAGCTACTGACCTACATACGGAGTGCAGTTACAAGGAATTACTCTGAAAAATCCATCAATTCTATTCTTGATTATATCTCTACTTCCAAGCAGGTTGGATCATCACTTCTTTCATCTTCATAGTTTTCTGTTTTGCATGTTAACTATGGACTTTTGTGTTTGGTTTGAGCTTTTTTGATCTTAGATAGAATATATTTCCCACATTTTGTGGATTCTGTTAAAACAGATAACTTTTCATAGATTTGTCCTTTTTTGGCAATACTTACCTGGGTTTTCTATGCTCATAAATAAATACTTTTTTTTAATTAGCATGTTAGCTGCACAGTGTCCAGTGTCCTCTCAAAGTAATTTTTAATTAAACAATACTTTTTTTTTTACTTTTGGGGAGGAGAGGGGAACCTTTGTAGTGAAGTGTTGGTGTGAAATGCTGCCTGTCTGAGTGACCTGTGCCAGTGAGGTACATGGTCACAGCCCAGCTCCTTTTGTGTTGGTGTAGAAGCTTTACAGAGAGTAGGAAGCTCCCCTAACTGACTACCTGGGAGGATCACTGGTCTTTGGTGATGACTCTTCAGTCATTATCACAATCTTTCCTGTCCTGCTACTCCTGGGAAGTGAAGGTTTAATAGCTGAGTGGTGGGTTACCCTTAAGGTCTAAAGGATTGTCTTAGACTATTCCTTTCTTGGCAAAGATTAGTCTCTGGTCTAAATGCAATTGAGCCAGACTTGGAGGGACAATCTGGAAATCTTAATTTTATGTATAGTCACAGATCTGCTATCCCCAAAAGAACTATGGCTATAAACAATACTAATGCATTCTCTGTTTTACCTTGTAAAAGGTAACACTCAGCACTATGATTTCCATTTTAGATGTTGTATTTTTGGGTTTTGTGCAGAGAAAAGGTTTGAAATACTCAAGAGGTTTCTTTCACTCAGCATTGGTAGTACAGAAAGGAGAAGGGATCTTTTCCTTTGACCGTTTTCCTCTCTTTGTAAAGTATATTTTCTTTTTGATATGTAAATCATTTTTGTTTTTCTTCTTTTTAAGTAGGAGCAATGTTACCTGTGTTTGTTACACAACATCAGAATTCTATTCCTTGGTTATATAAGATGGGCTCTTATAAGATGCCTTTCATTTTTCACAGATGGGTGGAAATCTTGGAATGTGAATGCTTTTTAATTGTATGTTTCATATAAGAAAAACAAGTGTAGTTAGTTTTGTTACTTTAGAAGCTCTTTACAGTTTAAATGCAGACATTCAGTAAGATACAAATACCTTTCTTATTTTGAAGTTCAAGCATGCACTTTTAGTTTGTTCAGATTGACTTTATTAACAGGTACAAATTTGCTGTTTACAATTATAGAATTCTGATTTTTTATGCCAGATGGATTTGCTTCAGGAATTCTATGAAACAACACTTGAAGCTCTGAAAGATGCTAAGAATGATAGATTGTGGTTTAAGACAAACACAAAGGTAAAATATATAACTTACTGTTTTTTGCTTTTGTTTGATACCTTCAGCTAACTCTTATGCTTGTGAAATCTTAATAGACCTCAGTACTTCAATTCTTTTTTCATTACAGCTTGGCAAATTATATTTAGAAAGAGAAGAATATGGAAAGTTACAAAAGATTTTGCGTCAACTGCATCAGTCGTGCCAGGTACCTTTATATTTTTAATCACTGTGCCTTAGTAAACAACATTGATTTGGGGGGTTTGGTTTTTTTTTTTTTACATCTGTTGTTGGCCTTTGGGGCATGTTGCTGAGCTTTAGTACAGAGGGAAGAAATTCTGTGCCTGATTTAATTTGTTATCTGTTTGATAACATGAAAAAAAAAAAGATAAGTGTTTTATTCCTTACTTAAAGATGATTTTTTAAAAAAATTATTCACAGCTGCTGATTAGGTTGCTCTTCAGTCAGGTGCAAGGATGAGAAGCACATATCAATTATCTATAATGCATAGACATTAATTTTAAAATATAGCAAAGATTCCACGTGAGCTTTATTCAAAACTGAAAGTACAGTTGTTACTTTCCCATCTGGAAGGAGAAAAAATAAATTAGCCGTGCAGCCTGCTGTGTGTGTTTGTGACAGTTTTCTTCTTTCAGTATGGAAAATAGGTTACAAATGTCTGGGAAATGGTTCTCTTACAGGCAGCAGAAGATTGTATGTGTTATCTGATATATATGCATTTGTGTCAGTCATTGCATTTATGTACTGAGAGTGTGATTTAAGCAAAGTGGGAAAGAATAATGGGTAAAGTTTTGAGGAAAACATTTAATTACACAGAAATACTGACGTTTTAAATAAAGGGCTTCAAAACTTGGCCTGTGATAAGTGCATCGAGTATTATGTTTTCTGTTAAGAGTTGTATCAAAATTGCAGAGTTTTTAGGAATATTCCTATTTCTGACAGGAAATTACTGAGAGTATTTGGTAATCAGTTTTTTACTAGTATAAAACTGAAATTGCTGTTCTCTTAAAATTTCACAGTATTTATTACTTAATCTGTCCTAGACTGATGATGGGGAAGATGATCTAAAAAAAGGTACTCAACTATTGGAAATCTATGCTTTGGAAATTCAAATGTATACAGCACAGAAAAATAACAAAAAACTTAAAGCACTATATGAACAGTCATTGCACATCAAGTCAGCCATTCCTCATCCGCTGATCATGGGAGTTATCAGAGGCAAGTTCATCTTGAATTTTTCATTTAACTTCTGTTGCATGGATTAGTTTTATGAAAATCTGAGAACTAATGGTTTTTTTTCAGTTCCAGCTGTAAAGACAGAGGATCCTGTAGATTCAGAGGCTGCTGTCTCATCATGTAGGACATAGCTCTGCTGTTCTGGTGCCCGAGTACCAGATGCACTGGTCAGAAGGGCAGGACAGTTGGCCACGTAAATGTTAGGAAAGAAGCAGTAGAAAGAAAAAAGGAAGACTTGAGCTGTTTGGCACCATGGCAAGCAACAAAAGATAAATGCAAAGGCATTTTCAGGGGATAAAAACAAAGGCTGGACAGGAAGGGCTACTGGCAGAAGGGACTGCTGTTTCTGTAATCCCCTTTGGTAAATTTGTGCTCGATGTCTCACCTCACTGAAATTCAGCAGGAACTGAAGGGCTTTAAGATGTACTTGAAAATATTATTTATTATCTGCAGTGATGAATTGTAGTGGAAACACGCTGTGTGTCTTGAAAAAAAAACCCTTCTCCAGAATACTGTTGTGCCTTCCTCCTTCCACTGCTGTAGGCACTTGCACAGACAATCAGGCAGTAGTGGGTACTTCAGGAGACAGAGAGTATTTCTCAGTTTTTCTGTGTAGTTTTGCTCAGCAGATAGGGAAAATTCCATAAATATAGGAAGTCTGTTGCATTGAAATGGAGATAAATTCCATTTCAGTTTTTAGAGTATTTTAACATAAGGGTGAACTAATTATTGGCTCTGAGGATTAGTGTTCTTTCAGTTTTACGATGTGGGTTGGGTTTTGTTTGTTCTTCTTTGGAATGAGTTTATCCAAATGACAGCGCTGTATGTGAAGGCCCTAATGCTTTTTTTTTCCTGGTGATTTCAGAGAATGAAATGACTTCTGAAAATATTTCAGTAATCTATTTAGAAATAGCGTGGAACTTGGGTACAATTACTGTAGTCAGCAACAAGCACACAGTGTTCCTTTTCATCTGTGTTTTCTTTTCAGAATGTGGAGGCAAAATGCACTTAAGAGAAGGAGAGTTTGAAAAGGCACATACTGATTTTTTTGAAGCATTCAAGAACTATGATGAATCAGGGAGCCCCAGAAGAACCACTTGCTTAAAATACTTGGTCTTAGCGAACATGCTCATGAAGTCTGGAATAAATCCATTTGACTCTCAGGAGGTATTTTTTTCTTTTTCCTTCACATTCCCCCTCCCCCTTTCTGAGTTTATAGAGAAATTACTCAAAAGATGAAAATGGAAAAAAAAATATTTAAAATCTAAGCTTGCATATTGTGCTTTCTGTTCTGTGTAGGCTAAACCATACAAAAATGATCCAGAGATTCTAGCAATGACGAATTTAGTAAGGTAAGATTTTAATTTTTCTGGAGGAGAGAACCAAAAAAATAAAAAGATATAGAGTCCAAACCAAAATGAAATATTTTTAGAGATGGCTTTTCTCTATACAGCTAAGACAGTTATTTCATCAATATTGAGCAAATATTTGTACTGTTTTTCTTAAGAAACTTACTTAGTATGAGATACCAAAGTATCTATATTATACCAGGTAGGAATACAAGAGACATGCTGTTTCTTCTACTATCCTGAATTTTTTGTGCAGTGGCAAAAACCTAATTTCTATCCTTAAATAAAAACTGTCCCACCTTGTACTACAGCTGGTCTTTATGGCTGACTAAGTTGACTGACATGTCATACCAAAGCCAATAGAATCATTTGATGCATGGATATATCATGATTACTAAAGGAGCTTCATAATTTAGCAATAAAAAAACTGAACTCTCAGGTGATCTCCCCTATCCTTCAAAAACACATGAAATCAACAGAAGGCCAAATTACCTCTTACAGGCAGCTGTGATATGAGGACTTTCAGTGTATTAAGATCATAAGTAAAATAATGTGAACTGAGGCAGGTTTTGTGTACTGTGCTTTGAAGCTGCCCTATTCCATCCATTCTATCCTGCCTTTGCTTTATCAAGTTAAAAAAAATAAACAATACATAGGAAAAGCTTTCCCACCTTTTCATTAGGTAAGAAGTAGTGTCTGCTCACGTTCTGAAATGGAACAAACCCTGCTCTGGTACCGCTGTGGTGCTGTGCCATTGTATGCATACAAATTGTTTCTGGAAGTGAGGATGTTCATCCATTTTTGACACAGTGGTTGAATAAATTATTTGGCAGTTCATTAAGAGACTATTCCCAGTAATTCATTCCACTTTAGATGTGTTTTTTCTACTTCACTGTCATAGTTCCTTGTAAATTTGAGGCAGAAGGAACTCCAGATGGCCTTACCCAATCTGATTTTATTCATATTTCTAATTTATATCTTTTATCTTGACATTTGAGTATAACTGCTTCTATAAAATTAATAATGCAATTAAAGCAGTGTAGATAAGAAATATGCAGAAGATAAAATTAATTTCAAAGATTACAATTATGTTTTTAATCCTTTCTATACAGTGGGAACTTATATGTTTTACATATGATAAAAAGAGACTTCTGAAATAAACAATAAAATATACTGAACTGAAATTCCTTTTAACTGTTAAGTAAAATTTACTCGTTTCATGTGATACAGTCCATGCCATTCACATAACTCCATTTATAAACTACTCAAGTTCTACCTTAAATGTAAGAGGTCTTTTTCTTGCCCATTTTAATAAAGGATGAATCTTTTTGACCAGTTTCAAAACAATTTTAAAATGTACAAACCAGGAAGGAAAAATAAACGTTGTTTTTAAAATGTTTGATGTCAGTATTAAAAAGAAGTCGAAAGCATGTATTTAAAGAAAAAGGTCTTGTTTCAGTGGTTACAGCTCTTGATCTTTAAATGATGCTGTGGTGCCACTACTGAACCCACCTGTTTAAAACCCTTTCTCAGATAACAAGATTGACTGACTAGTTAAAGGATATATACACAAATAAGGTATAAATAAAAATCTAAAACATAATTTTATGCAAGAATTACTGATGGTTAATCCTGGAAGTCAGGATTTCTTCCACCTTCCAGTATTTTTAGAATTCAGCTTAAGATGGACATTGTAGAGACAGCAACTGCCTTCTACGCTCTTTTTAGCTCTTATTTCTGCCATGAATTATGAGTTATTGAAGCCAAAATTCATGTAATGGTACTTTTCAAAACTGGCTATTTTTAGGGTCTAGGCTTTTTTAAAGAAGTAAGTACAGAAAGTACAAAAGTTTTGAAACTAGAGTGCACTTGTGGAATGACTAAATGTTCATACTAAACTTTAGTAGATGCTCTTAAAATTGAAATAGGAGAAAGGTCATTTCTGTTGCATTTCATCTTGAGACAGTTTTTTGATTATAAAGGTTCGGAATGTAATTATTTGCCACCAACGCTTAATACATGTTTGTATAGAAGATGTAGAACATACTCTTATATAAGTCTGTAACTTGTAGAATAATAATTCAGTCTCTTGTTTTTTCTGAAGTGCCTATCAGAATAATGACATCACTGAATTTGAGAAGATTCTGAAAACAAATCACAGCAACATCATGGACGATCCCTTCATAAGGGAGCACATTGAAGGTATTTTTGAAGGCTATTTTAATCCTTTTTGTTTTCACTACTTGGTAAGCTGCTGGCTTTTTTCTATTTTTTTTCTTCCCCGTGGTTTACTTTTCTTCTTGGCAGACTGAGAGTTCTTTGTAATTACTTGTTGACAATTCCTTCACTGTTTACAAGTTCCTTAGGAGTTGGTCAAGGCCAGCATGCATCCAGGCATGTGGCATGTCTGTGAAGAATTGCAGGAATGGTGGAGAAAGTTCTAGCAAGAGGGGATGTTCTAAGATAATATCTGTGGTGGTGTTAAGACACTGAGTATTTTGAGTGGTTTGGTTTGGGTTTTTTTTTCCCATTGTAAGGGTGAAATGAGAGCAGCCCTTACCTGTAAAGGTGGCTTGTAAAAAATTTTGGGACTTACACTACCTATACTTAATAAACCAGGAGAACACATCAACACATGCCTTTCTGTTCCAATAACATGATAAAATAAAGTTCCTCCTGCATTTTTTCATGTATTGGAGAACTGAGAAGTCTCTTCACTTGAATGTAGTGCCCAGTTCTTCAGGTGACTAATAATTCCAAGAGTAGGTGTTACTGTGGCATTGCAAGATCATTTAGCTGGACAGTTATATGAAAAAAAGAGTTAAATCCAGAGACCTGCTTTTCCTATACTTCTTGTTTGTAAAAGAGAACATGGCAAACAGCAGGGGAAACTAAATATAACCCTGCTACTGCTGCTACATGTTGACTACTGGTGAGCTTCAAAGTCTTGTAGGGAGACTGTAAGATTAGAGAGATGGATGCCTGAGGAAGAAGATGTGACAGAACTGAAAAGCAAGAGAAGAAGGACAGTTGAATCAAAGAATTGAAGAGGATTATGTGCTAGTGATGTCTCATCTTTTTCACTCGGTAGTGATACGACATGGTCGTGGCTGTAATGTTTACATACCTTGCCTCATTGTTTTAATCTCCTCGGTTTTATTGAGACACATCATCTGGTCTTCAGTGGTTTTTTTATTATATAAACAGTCCTTGTGTAACTAGTTAGGTAAAAATGGATCTAGATTTTTTTTCCTATTAATTTATAATTGTAATTTATGCTTTCATTTTATCCCAGCTTTCTTTAATAACGTAAAAAAATTCTAAAACAGTTACTGCATTACTTTACTGAAGCAAAATCAGACACTTCATGCAGATTGTTTTATACTGTTTCAGTTCCTCATCATAATTATACCACTAGGCCCTGATCTTTTCACTTTAAATGTGAATATTCCCCATGAAGTTAAATGCACACAGACTTTTTAAGTTGCATATCCTTAAAAATACCACTTTTCACTTTTGTACAACACATAAATTAGAGGGACAGACGTACCATGCAGTAATCTCTAGGACTTATGCAGGTAGTTTGAATAAGTTAAATTTTTACCAGAGAATATGTTGCTCCATGTTTAAACAGTTTTTGACTCTGTGTGTCCACCTTCAGGGTTGCAGGTTGTTTGGATCCCTTGGATTCTGCTGTGCTTCCCCACCCACTGAATTACTACCTTAAATATGCTGGTATTTAGGATATCTTTCTGTATGGAGTGGTGTTGCATCTTTATTTCAGTACTGTTGTTTTTACAGTGTTTATTTTTTCTTCTCTACAGAGCTTTTGCGAAACATCAGAACACAAGTGCTTATAAAATTAATTAAGCCTTACACAAGAATACATATTCCTTTTATTTCTAAGGTATGTGTCAGTGGAGCCTTGCATTTGCTTCAATAAATGATTAATAGTGAATAAAAGCTTTTAAATAAATACAGCGCTTCCAGAAATAGATCATCTGAAATACAATCTACACCATAAAGTAGCACTGATGCACTGCTGGCAGCTTTGCAGTGAAAAGAAAGTAAATTTCAAGTGTCATCTGAGTGCTTTTTATAATATGTACTATGATATACTTCTAAAATACTCAATTACCATATTCTACTTGGTGTGGAAAATCGCATTTCTGAAGAGAAGTATAAAAAGTGGAATTCGTATAATTAAAAATGTGATTATGAATGTAAATTTTATGAACATAAAAAACTAAAATTTGAATTCCTTTTGTTCAGAAGGTATCTTAAAATGTCCGTGTTGTATGAGTTACAGAACTGTGGTAGTAGAACAAACCAGCCATTCTCATAGAATCACTGAAAGCATTGCCTAATCTGGAAAGAACAAAATCAAACCCCAGCGATAAGAGATGACTATTTCCATCTCGTGTGGGTCTGTGATTTTGCTTGCAAAAATTCACAGCATTACAGAATGTGTCATGAAATATTAGAGGTGCCTATTTTTTATCCTTAAATTCTATTTAGAACTCTGTGTGCCTTTTTTTTTAAATTAGACTTAGTGTGTGTAGAACTTGCTTGAGCCAGAAGATGCAATTATGTCTCTAAATGGTTTTGAGTGTAGATCCATTCTTTCCTGATAATTACTGTCTTATTTTATTTCCTGGGGTTTTGTGGTTGTGGTTTATTTTGTTGTTGTTTGGGATATTTTTTATCTGTTTGTTTTTTCAGTAAGTCAGTAAAGGAACTAATTTCTGGAGCTTCCAAAATTTTGCTTCAGCCTTTTCTGAGAAGTTACTGATCTGTTGATTCTTGGCCACATGTACTTTGGTGGAGGTCTTTTTCTTGATAGATCATTATTGAATTGATACTTTTGAACAGTAAGAAACAGAAATGAAACCCAATTCTGTATATGAAAATAAAGATTGGAGGGTTTTAATGTTGCAAAACATGATGGCAACATAATGAGTTTTCTTTTTCTTTTAGGAGTTAAACATAGATGTAGCTGATGTGGAAAGCTTGCTTGTGCAGTGCATATTGGATAAGTATGTACTTTATTCTTGATTATTGATCTTTGATTACTTTAAAATAAACTATACAAGAAGCAACAAAACATTGTTTTGGTGCATTGTGACAATACTAGTTGATTCTAGAAGTGAAAGGTAATGATGCTGATTTTGGATTTGCTTATGAGCAGTAGAGTATGTTGGAAAGATGGGAGCCAAGAAAATGACACAGAGAGATTGAGTGGCATGTTTTTATTTTAATTTTTAATTACATAATAAAGTGTCTTGAATTATTATGAAATTATGAAAGTTACTATTCTAAGTAATTGCTGCTTATACCCATGTATATTTTTGAGTACATTTTCAAGTTGAAAAATTAGTAGTCTGCTCTCCTTAACTGGAAAAACTTGACTACGATTTCTAAAACCTATTTTTCTGGAGGGTAACTTGTTATATCTCCTGCAAAAATAAAATCCATACATGAGTTTATATATTTTTAATTTCTTTTGACATAAATCTCCATTTTTTATGATTCCTTGACTTTCAAGAATTGTTTACCTCATACTGCTTTAGACTTTGTGTGGGTCATAGTTAAGCAGATAAAATGTGCATTGCCCAATGAATAAGTCCATTTGATTTCCAATCATGGTTACAGCTAAATAGGCAGGACTATCCAGGACAAGAATTATAAAGGCGCCGAATTCTGAAATGGACTTTCTGTCTCTCTTGTATCAGACCTCTTATTTTACCTTTGATTTATTGTTAGTTGCTATTTCCACCTCTGTTAGCAATTGACAGTTTTTATTTCTTTGCTTCCAGCACTATCCATGGCCGAATTGATCAAGTCAACCAGCTCCTCGAACTGGATCACCAGAAGAGAGGCGGTGCCCGGTATACTGCGTTAGATAAATGGACCAACCAACTAAATTCTCTCAACCAGGCTGTAGTCAGCAAGCTGGCCTAACAGAAAACAAGCTTCTACAAACTACTTAAGGCAACAGTGCAGTGATGTAAACCTTAAAAGAACTGGGAATGGCAAAACTACTGTCGGTTGGTGTGCCCTGAAATTATTGGAGTTATGGCAGAAGTGCTTTTTTGATCAGCTGGTTTGTGTTTTGCTGCTGCATTTATCCCAAGAAAAAAACAGCTTTAATCTCCAGAAGAAAACCAAAATGCCACGGGATTTATGCTGTATTGACATCTTGCCCTAAACATACAACATCCTAGTAATTTGTCAAGGGGCAATTGATGACCAGAGAGAAGATTTTTGTCATGATTTTAAATACACTGACACATTACTGTTGGTTAAATTTAAACATGTTTTACCTGCAGAAATTCTCTCACAGAAATAACCTGCAATAACTTGAAATGCATACCCTTTTGAACACTTCCTTTTCTCATGTATAAATTGAAATGTTTGCTGCATTTTGCAAAATGTCAATTCTCCAAAAATGTGTCCGTATATTTCTGTACCTGCAGTGTAGTAAAGGTTTAGAAGAAACCCCATAATTATAGTGGCATACTGTCACTTAGGTTTCAAGCAGCAAAATAAACAGTGCAGTTCAGAAATTGTACAGTTGTTTCTTGATGTGCTTTCATTATACTTGAATTTTTCTTGTGTTATTTTTAAAAGAAAATAGATACTACTTCAAAAATAGGTATTACTTGATCCTCACCTCATTTGTGAAGGACAGTATGGAGATTTTAAGTCTGAATGCCCTGATAAATGTGCTGTTGATTTTTCTTTTTTTCCCCCCTTGAAACAGTGAAACATAAATACTAAAGAGCTGACATTTAGCAGTCTTGCTAACTGACTTTCAGCTTGCAAGATGCCAAACCTTTATCAGCCCTGTCTGGTTATGTTGGTGGGTATTTGGCATCTCTCAGGGATATGCTCGGGTTTTATTTTGCTATTTTAAGAATGCAAGTTTGCCAAGCAATACCCTGGGAATAGAAGTGCAGACCCTCTTTGGCCTGATCTGTGGTCTTTTTGCCTGGATTCAGTGTATATAAAATGACACTGTGGGTTTGGAGTGGGGCCCAAGTACCATGACATTGGTCATAATGGAATCTCTTCTCAAATGTTTGAATGTGTCGTAGTCCCTTCAGAGCTGCTATTCAAGTCCTGAACTCCTGCCACATGGTAGGCACATGCCTTTTGTGTCCTAAGATTTTGGGATCATCAGATCCATTTAAAATATAGCTGCAGTGGTGATCACAGCACCTTTTATTCCTGTAGCAGATTGTCTGGAGCTGACAGAAAAATTCTCCTGCAGGTCTCAAACGTAGAAGGAATTTTAAAGGGTCACTTCTGTAACTGAGAGCAGCGTGTGATGGTACACAAAGCAGTGCCACACACAGACATTGTAATAGTAGAAGGAAAAATAAGTGCATAGAGCAATTAACACCACCCCAAAAATAGTGAAAAAGCCTAATAAATTACACATGTCCATCACATACATGCAAGGCACCGTGGTACACTCAATGTTCTTGAGCAGGATTTAAATTGGTAACAGGGTGTAACTAAATAGGATAAAATTTATTTTTATCTGAAGAATAGTTATGGCCCTTAGAAAATTATTTTGCTCTGCAGTTGTCAAAGCAAGTGAATTTTTTTTCCTGGAGTTTACACAATAAAGCTTAATGTGTACCATGAGTAGCATGATGCTGAATCTTGGGTGAGCATTTCTTCACTGATGCTTTTTTTTTTTACCCATAGGTATTTTTAATTTATCCACTCACTTAAAACAGTGGTAAAATAAGAATATAAATTGAACTTAGTTTTTAAGCAAAGTTTTTTTTTTCCTTTGTAAAATCTGTAGATAACATTGACTAAAAAGCACATTGTGTGTTGTTTCCTTACAATGCTGTGATGTGTAATATAGTTTTTACTTTGAACATTCCAATAATACCTGGTGATGCGAAGTTGAACTTAACAATACTGCACAGTAATTGGGACCCTTAGCTACAGATCCAGAGACTTTAATTTGGATAGGGAATGTTGCAAGGTTCTTCCTCTCTGGGGGATAAGGGACTGTCTCAGCTCTTTCAAGGTTCTCCTTCCCATGGAGACAGGGACAGTGACAGCTATTTGAATATGTTTCCTTTCCCTGCCATTTCCCACCACCCTTGCTGTGGGAAGGAACAACTCTGTTCTAAAGGAGAGGAAAAAGGAGAACTGTGTATAAACTTACAATCACTGAAAATAAAAAAGTCTTCTTGACTTTGTCTCTTGTACCTGCTGTAACCTTCCCCATCCCAGCCATGTCTGTTAGGGAGGCATGTTTGGATTTTTATCAAGAAGGAAACGGGAATACTGCAGTAAATCTTGTCCTTCCATCTAGTTCCCTTGTTTTATCTTTTTGTTCTGAAGCTCTAATTGTCCAACTTGTGAAGGACCCTCAGTTTGAGCGGTGAGGGCTAGCGATGTTTTTTAGACCGAAAAAGCGTCAGTCTACCTCTGATAAATTGTTGCGTGTTTTGGCATGTTTTAGTTCTTACTCATGTGTACAGTGCCTTAGCAGCTGTGCTCTAGGCACGTAATGAAGATTTATATAATCCCTAAGGGATTCTACTCCTTTTCTGAGTTCTCATAATTCTTAACCTGGAAGATGAGAATTTTCTGTGGGGAAATACAGAGGAGCTCTGTTGTCATACGACGGCAGCGGAAATCGCCAGTAGTTGCTGTAGCCCACCTGGTCCCTGGTAGATCTGGCTCTGGTGTCATTTCTGCCTCCTCAGGAAAGGTGAACAAGCAGTTGAAGGAAGAGGGTGAATGAAATTTTTTTCAGGAAACACTCTTGCACTGCAGGTTGTTCCAGACGTGGTAAAGCAGCCACACTGTGTTCTCCAGTCTGAGTTCCAATCATTAAATTTCTGCAGTTGCCATTGATTGTCAGAGCCACTCTTTTCACAGCTTCTGGGGTCTTTTTATATACTTTTTGTTGCTGTTGGTACAAGACAAACTGGCATCTTAGTACCAGTACCACTGTTTGCAGAGGAACATTTTAACGGCTGTTGTAATCTTTTCTGAGATTACAACAGTGATTAAACTGTGTATATATAAACCCTTCTTCTGAGTTGCTGGCAGCTTATGCATTAAAACTGAACAACGTGAAAATGAAATCTGGGAGGATGTGGGTGCTATGTCTGCATTTCAGATTTATTTTTTTTATTTTATTTATCAAGCATACTTGGGAGGAATGTATTCTTTTTGCATCTCAAAGTCCTACTCTAATGGATTGGATCTGAAACCTTGATGTAGTGAGGATTTCATTTTGCTTTTAAATAGGACTAAAAATGTATTGAACAATAAGAACAAAAAGAAAAACCCAGCTAAACAAAAAAATGGAAAAATGGCAAGGCAGCTGAAATGCACCTGGTAGAATAATATAATGAAGGTATTTGAATTGTAGTCTGTAAATAAACACTGATTTTTGTAATTACTCAGAAGTTGTCAGCTGTAAAACATTATGTCTGTATTTGAAGATTGTATTTTTTTTGAGAGGTAGTAAATTAATTTACTTGAGCAGGAACTGTGTATTTATGGAGTAAGAGTAAAATGACATCACTCTGGACAGTACCCCTTGCTTTCTCAAAAATACAGCAATTACTTGAACTAAATTTCCATATAGAGATGTTAATATTGACTTTGAAAGTTTAGCTGTTACTTTATTATTTTGAAAGTGCTAAAAATATATTTTAGAACTAGGTTAGAGAACTAGGTAAAATACATTACAAGCTAATCAACTAGTGAAGTGTTAATTAAGGTATTGACAGAAAGGATTATCACTGTCTTAAAAGCCTCTAAATCTGTGGGAAGGTAGATTGCAAAGTGTATCTGTGTTATAATAATTGCATATGTAGTACCAAATCGTAGCTGTAATAACTGGAGGCATTACAGCAAGAGTAAAGGCTAATCCCTTCCTGGCTGTGGTACAGAGAGCTGCGTGGTGGGATCTGTCTCAGTTGGCTCTGCTGCCTCTCTGCTCTCGGTGGGAGAGCTGGGCTCACTCTGGCTGCTGCCAGGTAGTAATTGCACGTTGCCATCAGAATCGTGATTCTCAGATTCATGCACTAGTTCCCGGCTCACCTTCCCACTTTGGTTCCAGTGATGTTCCCTGTTGTCTGTCCCCAGCTGCCTGTGCAGAACACCACATGTTGTACCAGCAGATACAAGTGTTTATTTGCCAAGATATACTTTGCTTTCTGTACTTGTCTTTTCTCTAATTATGCTGAAGATTTTAGTCCCAGGCCAGTAAAACTGTCATTTTGGAGTTTGCTTTATTCCTGCTGCCTCTTCCCCTTGCTCACCATGGCAGCCTCCAAACCCGCTGCAGTCCATGGTCAGGTGGTGCTGCTGCCTTGGAGCTCAGTCTCGGCCTGCTCAGACCTAGGGGGTGGAGGGGGGTGTTACTGAGCAACCCTTATTTCATGTTTCCATGCCAGTGCAGTTAAGGCTGTACATATGTTCAGCTTCCAATGTAAGGAGCTGCCTCGATTTCAGTGGGATGTGCATAATCACATCCTTACGTGTTTTGTGGGACTTTATACCCACTGAATGTAAATAGACCCTATGGAAGTAGAGAGCGTGAGTGGCTGCACATGTGCTGTTAAATTTGCTTGTTATCCTGTGATTTGAATTCTGAATACAGTCACTACCAAGTGCCTTTCCATGTTGCTGAGGTATTTTGGTTTAGACTCCATTTTTTATTTTTGTGTCGACCTACATTTTCTTCTTCCTTTGACCTGTGTCCTCCATTGTGTTCGGGAAGGGTATTTCCACTACCCAGCAGATGCAGCAATAAACCCCCAAAAATTTACAAATTTTTTCTGTAAGCAATCAGCACTTGCTAGGTTTGACCATCATTTTTGCTTACAAACTCTTTACTTACTTACTCCATGTTGCAATAAAAAAGTAGCAATGATTGTTTACAAACTGCCAGATTTGAGAACTGGACCCTTAGGCTTGAGTATTCAAAATCAGCTACTGCAGTTACCAGCATGTTTAAATTCAGCAGGGTTTTTAGAATTTTTATATCTTCCTTAAGGACTGTAACACGGTTGGGTTCTCTTACACAACACTCGATCAAGATGGTGATGATGTAACCAGATACCCTGGCATATTTGTGATAGCTGTGGATAGAGGATCTCACATAACTGGTTCTGAGGGCTTTGGTATGTTTTTCTTTTTGGTGATAACACAGTTAAATTTTACGGGAGACTTGAGATTTTTTTTCACCCAAATGGCCACTCGGGTGACCCAACATGACTTTCTGTAGTATTTATATTGCACATATTTATGTAGCTCTGATATCTTTTTAATCACTGCCCAATTTAGATCTTAGACATCCTTGTTGTTTGTGCATAACAGCCCTTTCAAGTGTGACCTTTCTGTTGGTATGTACGTTGGGAACAAAAGAAGAATTTCATAATGGACAGCCTTGCCATAATGAGCCATTATTTCTTAAAAACACAGCTACTATCTTAAGCAAATGTCATAATGTATATTCTGTGGTCAGCACCAATTTGAACAAATTAAGCTGCATTCCACACTAAAACACTGGTGTGCTAATACAAGAAAATGATTGTTCTACTTGTTTCAGTGGGATTTTTTTCACTGTTTTCTGTCCAGTCAGGCAAGTTCTCCCACATTACTTGGGAGATGAAAAGTGACTAGGTTTGAAATAAATCAACCTAATTTTGCACAAATAAGTGAAACACATTTAACAACTGGGAATAAAATATATTTTGCTCAGTAGAGATTTGTTGTTTAAGTGAGATTAAGTTTAGGTGGCATATGTTTCATAATTATTATCTGTAGATTTCCATCTCATATTTAAGTTCATCAATGACTGATGAAATGCTGTTCCATTGCATCAGCTGAAAGCTCTTTGTACAACCAGCCTAATCCACAGTTTTACTTTCGTGACTTCTTGTGTTGAAATAAATCTCATTGTGTAAAAGCCCCTGGGAACATAACCTCAAATTAATCTTTGTTACCACCTTGAAATGGCTTCTTAGAGTCATGAACACTTGTGGGAGTTCTGCTGACCATACAATCTCATCAAGGAAAGTGCTGGGATACAGAAGTGCATATAAAGTGTAAACTGCTGCAGCTTCTCAGTTAAACTGAGGTTTCTGTATCAATTAGGGTGCTGCAGCAGCCCTCCTGTTCTCTTCATTTGTAGTAAAACTGTCCTCACTGAAGTTAATAGAAACCCTGTAGTTAAATTTCATTGGGATTACAATTTCACCCCACTCCCTTTCCCATATAATCCTATGATTCTGTGTACTACAACCTCATGAAAACATGTCACTGAATGTAAGTAATATTGCAGACATGTAAGCAAAAGTTACACCTACATAGGGATCCTGCTGATGTGGATGGAGTAGCACAGAAGGCAGGCATGGTCTGTGCAAGTTCTCTGTTCGTGTCATCTGTTTGCAAGATGAGATCTTGCTCTGCAATGCAACAGCCATCTTCATAATCCCATGTTACAGGCGAGGTTTTAATGGTGAAGAGCAACTCTTAAGAAAACACAAAGGCATTATGTGGATTTACCCAAGAAATAAATTTTTTATAAAGTAGAACAAATTGTTACATAGTGTAATGAACATAAATCTGGAAAGGTTAAATAATTATAAAGGTTCAATCTAGGAAGCTCTAGCA